ATATCGAAATCAATATTTCCTAAATTATTGACAGTAATAAAATTTTATTTTTAGTGCGCTTCTTGATGTAACATTATCTCTAAAGATTATAACTTTTGATATGGATCCTTCCATATCAAATCGGGGCTTATAAATGATTTTTTGATTTATAAATATCAACGATTAATCAGATTTTGATTGTTGAGATAAATTTAGATATTTAAACTGTAAGTAATATAGTTTAGTGCAAATATACATACATTATACTGATATGCGTTATTGATATAATTTTAACCTTATCAGCGATAGTAGCGGTTTAAAGCATTCTAACAATAACAGTAGTCTAAAATTAGAACAGAGGATCAGCATATGTAAAATTACTGCATATAGAACTGCACCAAATTATAGTATATCAACCTACACTGAAATTTTTACTACGAATAATTCGCGCACTTGTGAATACTTTCCAATAAAAATCTCAATTTCGTTTAGATTGTCTCTAAGCCCCGATTTGCTGTGGAAGGGCCCATTTCATATATTTAAAGAAAAATAAAAAAAAAAAGCATTGTGTCATATTTCTGCGACATGTGTACCCCACTGTGGGCTGTACCCTGCAGCGATTTTGGATGCCAAATCTTGATTTATGCCCGTGTATATAAGTGTGAGGGTATCATACTTAAATACCCATAGTAAAACATATTAAAAGCATTCATACGGTATATCCCCATATGATTACCCGGGTACATGACATTAACTAGGGGAATACCCGGTTACGTACGTATATCGCAGAAATACAATGCTTCGGCCAGAGCTTGAGGAGAGGTATTGCATTTTAGGAAGATTGCATTTAAGGAGGTTTGAATTACATACATCCCAAAATAGCAAGTGGGCGATACTGCATAACATGATAAGCATGTACGAACGTATATACGTACGTACGGAACAGGAAATGGTATTTAAATCCATTAATGATTCTATATGGGATAATGCATCAATGCTGCATAGAAACAATACACTAAGAATAAACAAATAAGCCACTGCTGATTTTGGCATATTTATAATGTGATTGAAGTTTTGGATCTAGCATATGGGTTAATATGTACGTATAATAATGCAAGATATAAGAAAAGCACATGCAGTGATCAATTTGGGCATGTAAACATGTCATCCAATAATATGCAAGATTTTGTACGTACATAGCCAGCTACCTGTAAATTGTACACTACGTTCCTGGTATACAATAAAGATTATACAAGATATTAACTTACTAAATTAGTTCAAAGTTGGTTCGACCTATTGCATAAGTGCTTTCGTTACTATGATTGGCACACCTCAAATGTTAGTAACTCATATACCCTTGGCCGGTGCTGGTATTACCCAGAAACAGCTTTATGAAGTCAATAATTTAAGAATATTCGACTTTAAATGTGCTACTTGACTACATGCTCAATAGAATTTGTGGTTTTAATTCCCTGCTTAGTGTAACAATCTGTAGTGTAATATACAATCAACTACAATTATAAGTTACACAGAGCTACTTAATAAAAATTTAAGAAATACTAATATATCGCTAATATAATACTACATAGATATTATAAGAATATGGCGTAATTATGGTTTTAGATTCTTGCGCTGCACTTATTAGATCAACCGACAGTAGTTTCGCAGATCAGGTAAAGTATAGTAGTTTCGCAGATGAGCAGATCAGTATTGTAGTTTCGCAGATTAGTATAGATGAAATTATAGCAGATGGTATAGATGAGCAGATCAGTATAATACAGGCTAATTTTTAAAATTATACTATATGGATCTGCAAGATTATAGAAACTAATGCTCATATATATAATACCTGGTCCGTATAGTATAGATTTAAAAATCGGCCTATACTATACTAATCTGCATACTGATCTCTAGTATAGATAGGCCGATTTACAAATCTATACAAATCTATACTATACGGTTCATGTATTATACGAGAACAGTGCTATGACGACAAATAAAACCCAACCTAAAATTCAAACAAAAACAATCTATCGAAAGAGACGTTTAGATTTGGCGAGTGGAATGGTTCTAAGGCTACAGTCGTTCTTCGAACAATATCACGTGACCAGCAGACGTTGATTCAATAAATTCACCCGGAACCAACACTCAAGGCAATCAAGTATCTACAACCCTTAGGGATACAACACAATAATCAAATGACGACGAGAGTAAGTTAATCCAATGAAGATATGAATTTACCCAACGAAAAGGTAAAATCAGGCAGCGTTTATCAAAGAAACAATCAACGAAGATCCACTTAAAAATAAGTTCGAGAATTAGCGAATTTATACAATGTATAATGGAAAGTTTTATGTGGAATAGACTTTTATCGATTGAACGTTGCCTTTCAGCTGGGCGAAATTGCCCTTTATTTATACATACACCAAATAATTCATTATTTATGAAATAAATCAAAGAAATCTATCAAAACTAACTTATCTAACTAGTCGGATAAGTCTCTTAAACCCCTTAGTCGACTAAGTCGTTTAAGTCTCATCAATGCAGAAATGCAATGAGTGCGATAAGTGTGATAAAAGCGATAAATCACGGAAAACTATAGACAAAAATAGATTTACAAAGAGACTGCGGCTTATACAAGTGATCAGCTGCGCCAAAAATTAAAATTCCGGAGGTCCGGACTACAATATATATTGACGACTGTAAAACGGCGAGTCTGTCGCTAATCGATCCGAGGCTTCGTGTAACCTACGATCGGCTTAGTCGAGAAGAGGCGTTTAGATT